GTTATGGGGGGGCTGAGCCGTAGTCTCTGGTTATGGGGGGGTTGAGCCGTAGTCTCTGGTTATGAGGTGGATATGAACCCCTCATTAGATGATACAGGAAGGGGCGGGCCAGGGACAGTATGCCTCCTTGAAGGTGCCCCAAGAAAGGAATACCCCCAGTGGGATAGAAGGGTAGAACTTTCGGGGGTGTTCTTGAAGTAAATGGTCAGATTCAGGTAGAAGGACGCAGATAGAAAGGAATGAACGCAGGAAGACTTTGTGAGATGCATGAGAACCAGCGTGCCCTGCAACCAATGGGCATCAAGCATGTAGTGGGTGATGACGGCTTCCACTGAAGACCAGGGTGGTGCTTGGAGACCATCGATGGGGAGACTCTGCAGACCGATCCCCCCCGACACGCTCCATCCTCCAGGTGAATTGAATGAACTTTGTATGTTCTGGTTACTTGTAGAAGGAACTTGACCAGCCAGGTGACCCCCTTCCTGTGTCCCGAGGTGTAACAATCAGGTTTCATAGGAGGGGCGGAGTCCAGGGTAGACCCCCGAGGATGCAGCTGACAATGTTGGAAGTTGGAGGAGACATTGATCAGGAACTCTAGCAGCAGGAGGAGCACTGAACCCAGAAACAGGCTGAATGGTCATCTTAGAGGCAGAGGTGCAACCCGTCATGTGCTGGCCATCATGCCCCAGGAAACAGGAAGTGCAGACAGGACACGTCCCAGCACTACAAGAGGAGAGGCAGATACCTTATACCTCCTTCCCTCCCCATCCCCCTAGTGGAGAGCAGAGACGAGGACATGTTCCGCTTCCATCGGATTCTCTTCCTGAGCTCAGGACTTCTGAAGAGAATCATCAAGGAGGGCTAAAGGATGCTATCCCCGAGTTCAGATGTTCTATAGGATGTCCTTGATGTGTTCAGGAGTGCTAAGGGAAGGTCTTCCTGAGTTCAGGACTTCTGAGGGACGCTCTTCCTTAGTTCAGGACTTCTGAGGGACGCCCTTCCTGATTTCCGGACTTCTGAGGGACACTCTTCCTTAGTTCCGGACTTCTGAGGGACGCTCTTCCTGAGTTCAGGACTTCTGAGGGACGCTCTTCCTGAGTTCCGGACTTCTGAGGGATGCCCTTCCTTAGTTCCAGACTTCTGAGGGACGCCCTTCCTTAGTTCCGGACTTCTGAGGGACGCTCTTCCTTAGTTCCGGACTTCTGAGGGACGCTCTTCCTGAGTTCAGGACTTCTGAGGGACGCTCTTCCTGAGTTCAGGACTTCTGAGGGACGCTCTTCCTGAGTTCCGGACTTCTGAGGGATGCCCTTCCTTAGTTCCAGACTTCTGAGGGACGCCCTTCCTTAGTTCCGGACTTCTGAGTGACGCTCTTCCTTAGTTCCGCACTTCTGAGGGACGCTTGGACTTCTGAGGGACGCTCTTCCTGAGTTCAGGACTTCTGAGGGACGCTCTTCCTTAGTTCAGGACTTCTGAGGGACGCTCTTCCTGAGTTCAGGACTTCTGAGGGACGCTCTTCCTTAGTTCAGGACTTCTGAGGGACGCTCTTCCTGAGTTCAGGACTTCTGAGGGACGCTCTTCCTTTGTTCCGGACTTCTGAGGGATGCTCTTCCTTAGTTCAGGACTTCTGAGGGACGCTCTTCCTTATTTCCGGACTTCTGAGGGACGCCCTTCCTTAGTTCCGGACTTCTGAGGAACGCTCTTCCTTAGTTCAGGACTTCTGAGGGACGCTCTTCATTAGTTCCGGACTTCTGAAGGACGCTCTTCCTTAGTTCAGGACTTCTGAGGGACGCTCTTCCTGAGTTCAGGACTTCTGAGGGACGCTCTTCCTGAGTTCTGGACTTCTGAGGGACGCTCTTCCTTAGTTCCGGACTTCTGAGGGACGCTCTTCCTTAGTTCCGGACTTCTGAGGGACGCTCTTCCTTAGTTCCGGACTTCTGAGGGACGCTCTTCCTTAGTTCCGGACTTCTGAGGGACGCTCTTCCTTAGTTCCGGACTTCTGAGGGACGCTCTTCCTTAGTTCCGGACTTCTGAGGGACGCTCTTCCTTAGTTCCGGACTTCTGAGGGACGCTCTTCCTTAGTTCCGGACTTCTGAGGGACGCTCTTCCTTAGTTCCGGACTTCTGAGGGACGCTCTTCCTTAGTTCCGGACTTCTGAGGGACGCTCTTCCTTAGTTCCGGACTTCTGAGGGACGCTCTTCCTTAGTTCCGGACTTCTGAGGGACGCTCTTCCTTAGTTCCGGACTTCTGAGGGACGCTCTTCCTTAGTTCCGGACTTCTGAGGGACGCTCTTCCTTAGTTCCGGACTTCTGAGGGACGCTCTTCCTTAGTTCCGGACTTCTGAGGGACGCTCTTCCTTAGTTCCGGACTTCTGAGGGACGCTCTTCCTTAGTTCCGGACTTCTGAGGGACGCTCTTCCTTAGTTCCGGACTTCTGAGGGACGCTCTTCCTTAGTTCCGGACTTCTGAGGGACGCTCTTCCTTAGTTCCGGACTTCTGAGGGACGCTCTTCCTTAGTTCCGGACTTCTGAGGGACGCTCTTCCTTAGTTCCGGACTTCTGAGGGACGCTCTTCCTTAGTTCCGGACTTCTGAGGGACGCTCTTCCTTAGTTCCGGACTTCTGAGGGACGCTCTTCCTTAGTTCCGGACTTCTGAGGGACGCTCTTCCTTAGTTCCGGACTTCTGAGGGACGCTCTTCCTTAGTTCCGGACTTCTGAGGGACGCTCTTCCTTAGTTCCGGACTTCTGAGGGACGCTCTTCCTTAGTTCCGGACTTCTGAGGGACGCTCTTCCTTAGTTCCGGACTTCTGAGGGACGCTCTTCCTTAGTTCCGGACTTCTGAGGGACGCTCTTCCTTAGTTCCGGACTTCTGAGGGACGCTCTTCCTTAGTTCCGGACTTCTGAGGGACGCTCTTCCTTAGTTCCGGACTTCTGAGGGACGCTCTTCCTTAGTTCCGGACTTCTGAGGGACGCTCTTCCTTAGTTCCGGACTTCTGAGGGACGCTCTTCCTTAGTTCCGGACTTCTGAGGGACGCTCTTCCTTAGTTCCGGACTTCTGAGGGACGCTCTTCCTTAGTTCCGGACTTCTGAGGGACGCTCTTCCTTAGTTCCGGACTTCTGAGGGACGCTCTTCCTTAGTTCCGGACTTCTGAGGGACGCTCTTCCTTAGTTCCGGACTTCTGAGGGACGCTCTTCCTTAGTTCCGGACTTCTGAGGGACGCTCTTCCTTAGTTCCGGACTTCTGAGGGACGCTCTTCCTTAGTTCCGGACTTCTGAGGGACGCTCTTCCTTAGTTCCGGACTTCTGAGGGACGCTCTTCCTTAGTTCCGGACTTCTGAGGGACGCTCTTCCTTAGTTCCGGACTTCTGAGGGACGCTCTTCCTTAGTTCCGGACTTCTGAGGGACGCTCTTCCTTAGTTCCGGACTTCTGAGGGACGCTCTTCCTTAGTTCCGGACTTCTGAGGGACGCTCTTCCTTAGTTCCGGACTTCTGAGGGACGCTCTTCCTTAGTTCCGGACTTCTGAGGGACGCTCTTCCTTAGTTCCGGACTTCTGAGGGACGCTCTTCCTTAGTTCCGGACTTCTGAGGGACGCTCTTCCTGAGTTCCGGACTTCTGAGGGACGCTCTTCCTGAGTTCCGGACTTCTGAGGGACGCTCTTCCTTAGTTCCGGACTTCTGAGGGACGCTCTTCCTTAGTTCCGGACTTCTGAGGGACGCTCTTCCTTAGTTCCGGACTTCTGAGGGACGCTCTTCCTGAGTTCCGGACTTCTGAGGGACGCTCTTCCTGAGTTCCGGACTTCTGAGGGACGCTCTTCCTTAGTTCCGGACTTCTGAGGGACGCTCTTCCTTAGTTCCGGACTTCTGAGGGACGCTCTTCCTTAGTTCCGGACTTCTGAGCGACGCTCTTCCTTAGTGCCGGACTTCTGAGGGACGCTCTTCCTTAGTTCCGGACTTCTGAGGGACGCTCTTCCTTAGTTCCGGACTTCTGAGGGACGCTCTTCCTGAGTTCGGGACTTCTGAGGGATGTACTGAGTTCCTCCTAATACGTCGCCTTCATTTCCGGTAGCAGCCACTAATGGCCACCACTAGAAGAATCTGAAGAGGAGGAGCCTGCAGACATGCATCCTCTGTGGATATCGGCCCCCAGCTGTGGCCCCTTATTGGGTGTCCCGGCTCCTCTTGTTACATTCTCCATATAAGATGTATCAGGGAGGGTGAGGGCCCCTTGGAGGTCCTGTGTCTGCTTGTTATGGGCCGACCACCAGCTTGTATTGCAGTATGATGATGAAAAGGTTCACCCGGCGTGTCTTCCCCCTCCTGTGTCTCCGCAGGGCCCGCTCAGGGACTGAGCCTCCCCGGTCTCGGCTCGTCTCCGTACACTCTGGTGAAGCAGTCGCTGACGTGGATGGAAGCGCTTGCCTATTGCAGGACGCAGTACACGGACCTGGCCAGCATCGAGTCCGATTCGGAGCTGATCGCGGTAACGGCTGCGGCGCCCCTGACTGAGGTGTGGATCGGGCTGCACCTCTGCTCCCCGGGGGTGTGGCGCTGGACTTCCGGGAACACCCTGGGAACCTATGCCAAGTGGAATTCCGGGATGCCCAATCAGACGTCCTATGCGTGTGCCCGGTACAGCTTCACCAAGTGGAACGACGGGAGCTGCGGCCTCCACTACTACTTCGTATGCCACAAAGGTGAGTCCAACCTCCAATCCACGGGGGCCACAGATAGGGCCCTACATGATACCACTCTATGGGGGCCACAGCACAGAGAGAGTGAACAGACCCGGGAACTCAGCACAGGGATGGTGGGGGCC